CATTTGAATGGCCGTTTGCGTCATCCCGACTTTCATTAATTTTCATTTTGCAACTTCTCTCTCTCTTTCCTTTTCATTCCTGCTTTTCTTTGCCTGGTTCTTGTCTTTCCTTTTATTCTCCCATTTTTCCTCACAGTTTTCTTGTTTTCTCTCTCTCTTTTTTCTTTTGTCTCTTTTTTTTATTATTTTTATTTTCATGGTTATGATCGAATCCTATGGGTATTGCCTACGTATCATGACACCGCATGAATCAGACCAAGCGTAGTTCTGGGAGATAAGTGCGAAAATAAAAGAAAAATATGTTTTTGGGTTTTTCAATTTTCCATAAAACAAAACTAAAGCAGACATCCTGGTTACAACGACTTTCACTACAGATTTTAAGCATAAAACTAACAGACTCCAACTAAAAAAATAAAAATACAAACTCCAAAATGGACAAACAAACTCCAAAGAAAACGAAAATACAGACTCGAATAAAACTCATGAATACATAAGTGCTTCAATTACTCCTGGGGCCCGCGGGACATCAGTCGATCTCGCCGCGGGCCTATGCGCCATATCTTCTTGAAGGCGAAATAGGTCATCCATGATCTGTCGGACAAAAATCATAACGGAGGCGAAGAACATGGACCTGGTCATGTCCTCACACTCACTGCATTTCATCACTATGTAGTCCGCAATGCTCCTAACCCTTTCTCTAATAATACCCTTCTTTTGAAGCAACCGACCAATCTGCTGAGATCTGGCCCCTAAAACTTGTTCAGCTGTATGATTCTGCTCTTGAAGCTGCTGCAGGTCTTTTTCTAGCTGCGACATCAGGGCATAGCAGTGTTCTCTTTCTGCTTTGAAATCTTTTGCCTGCTTAGTCATTTTATTCTCAAGGACGGTGATCTTTTTCTTCAACCCTACGACTTCATTGTCATATTTCTCTTTTAACTGTTGAACCAAGCGCCTCGTTCCTCCGCATTCTTAGCCAATTTTGTTCGAGCCCTTGCCAGTTCACCCTCTGCCTTGTTCAGATCAAAGCCATACTCACCTACCTTCTGCCTAAGGTTACTTATAATCTTTTCATCTTTTGCACTTCTGGCGGGGTTTTCGGCTGCTATTTTCATTTCCTGAATTTGGGCCCGAAGAGCCTTATTTTCTTGGGCCAATTTCTTCTTCTCCCCTTCGTCAACAGTGGCCTGCACACTTTTGTCAAATTTAAGATCTCGGATTTGCCCCTCCATCTTGCTTATCGTGGCTCTATAGCTTGCCTCTTTTGCCAACCAATCCAATTGCTCCTGTATCCCATCGGTGAATTGTTGGACATGGGGCCTCTTGGCAGGCCGTTCATACTCCTGATGGACTTGAGACCTTTTACCGTACCAAGTTGTGTAACTAGGCTCTAACTCGCCGTTGGACAGATCTCGCACCTGAGTCTTTGACTCTAAGAACCTACATTGATGCCAAATTCGACGCACCTTTTCTTCTGGGAAAACAGCCTTTGGTCCTAGCTCGATGACCTGCCGATTCAAATCCTGATCATGCAGAACAGTCTGGTACCCGCCTAGCTGGCGTAGAACTCTGTGCGGGGCATAAGGCTGAATGCTCCGTAGACCCATCAATAGAAAAAAACATACTTCAGCCAACATATAAATGACTTCACTGACCGAGAGCCACCTGAATGTCCATTCAATCTTGTTTGCAGTCAGGGAGCTCAGGTGTGCAAACCATGCTTTCCTACCTTCCGGGAATTTATGGCCCTCCACCCGTTGTTCATGTTTTCCAATGCATTCAAGACTGGTCATGCCACAGTTCATGTACCCCGGACGGTGGCAAAGGTGTTCCTCCATCCAGAGTTGTAGAAGCATATTGCATCCTTCAAAAAACTTTCCCCCTTCTCGGCAGACGGTTAGAGCTCGGTAAATCTCCGCCAAGATCATCGGTACAATGGTGCCATTTGCCTTTTTAGTCATGAAGTCGGCTATCCCTACAAGCCCCAACTCTATGTTTCCATCTTTTCTTGGACAAATCAAAACACCCAGGAATGCCACTATAAAAGCCAATCCTCGCTGAGCTTCCCACTTATCTTTGTTCCCCGAGGGAGTAAGACCGGTATCTGGCATATCAAAACCGTGGGGATTCCCGTAACATCGGTACAAGAAATAGAATGTGCAGAATCCCTTGGCCAAATTTCCGTCTTGAACTTCCTGACTGATGCTTAGCAGGTCCAGAAACTTATGAGGAGTCACTGTTCTAGGTGCCACCGGGTATTGATTTCTGAGATTCCCACTAAAACCAGCGTAGCCAGCTATTTCCTCAAAGCCTCAATTATATCCTTCCTCGACTTAATCTTCAGAAGCCCAACAAGACCACCCAAAGCTTTTATCACAGTTTTTCTGCTAACTTCTCCCAAATCATGCCACCACATATGTAGTTCTAACGGGATTTCCTCGCGGACTGTGAAAGGTTCGTTTTCAATTGTGCTCATCCTGCATATTTATTTAAGGTGATTGATTAAAAGACTATGATTTACTTTGACTCAAGAGAAAAACACCCATTTTCACAAAACATTCTTGCGAATACAGCCCTTTAACACCTCAAGATAATAATAATAATAAAAAAACAAATTTTAAGGCTGTTTTTGTTAATCAACCAAAATTTTTCGAAAAAGGACCCTAAGGTCGGCTATCTTGCAAAACCAGCCTTCGGCCTTGGGGCATTTTGCCTATTTGGACAGAAGGCGCACCTATTATTATGACAAAAAGCGGCACTTCACATTTTTGGATTATTTTTGCAAAAGGAGTTGGACCCGATGAGGGTTGCCTACGTATCCCACATCCGGTGAGAATCAAACTTGCGTAGTTCGGTCAATTTTGACGCAACAGAAAACACAAACTTTTGAAATATATTTTTTTTTCTGAAAATTTCGGCAGAGTTTTGGGGTATTTTGGATACCAGGTTTTTCACAGGCGGGTAATTTCTTCTCTCTCACCTCACTTTGGTTTTTCTCAATTTTTCCCTTATTCTAGAAGCCGGTCAACATGCAGCCCGAATCAAATAAATGCGCAAGTAGCAAGCAAAAATGCATCAGAATGGTCTTTTGATCTCAGGTGCACCTGTCCTAGACGGATCCAACCCCTGTGTTGAGTCCCCAAAGTCAAAATGCACATGATGCAAACAAGCGCTCCTACTAGGGATCCGACATGAGGCTATGTTATACTAGGTTTGAAAACCTGGGTTTATTTGTTCTAAACCTGGCTTACCCGAGCGGACAACTCGAGCCGGGGGGGGGGGGGGGGCAGCGTACCGGGAATAGAGAAGCTTTGCCGGCTTTGCAACTTGTCCGAACCTTGTTCTAAAATTAGGATATGACTCTAACAGAAGAGAAGCTACACGAAGTGCACCCTTCTCAAATGATTTAGAAGACTCAGAGAGAGGAGGGATTCGAAACAGTTTATATACAGTTCAACAATATCAAAGCGGTAAAAAGCAACATTTAGCACATTAGGCTCAATCATGTAAATAAAATCAGATAATAAATAAAGCCAAATATAACAATTATTCTAAGCTCGAATTCTTGAACCCTGAACCAGAGATTCTGGGTTCGATGCCCAGTAGAGTCGCCAGAGCTGTCACACCTCCTTTTTCCTACACCCCGGAAGAGTATAAGGGAGTTTTTTCCAATTTAAGTGACAATCGAAACGAGATTATTTATTTAATATCAGAGTCGCCAGTTGGGATAATTTATGGTGTCCCAAGTCACCGGTTCAAATCCCGAATCGAGGAAAGATTGACTCTGTTTTACAGTCCGCGAACACAGAAATCCGGGTAAGGAATTCTGTTAACCCGAGAGAAGGTGTTAGGCATTCCTGGATTCCGTGGTTCTAGCACGGTCGCCTAAACTATTATAATTAGCCTATTATTCGATTTTAATACATATTTTAGCCTATGGTATATTTTTGACTTATTAGCCGCTTTTAATTAATTTTAGGAAGATTCAACGTTATTTGAAACATATCTTGAACCACGCCACATGAAATGCACCCGCGGTCCACGACACATTTTATTTAACATTGTTTAGAATTGGAGTTGGGTCACATGAAATGAACACCCGAGTTTAGGAAATTAATTTAAAAATAGCGCGCCTAAAGAAACTACGCACTTTCAAGTTAATAGCAAGTTTTGCGGGGGCCATGGATAATTCAACTAATGGCACACCTCGATTCTAATTTTTTAAAGGATGTTCGAACTAAACTTTTGAGGGCCATAAACTATATCTTACCTAATATGGCACGCCTCAAATCTAATTGTTCAAATGATTTCTTATTTCTTAATCATGAGAGCCATAAACTATTGGTGTTATTTAATATGGCACACCTCAACTTAAGAAAGCTTAATTAATTTAAACAAACACAATTCGAAACTATTGTTTACACGAACATCCGCTACAGAAAAACGTTGGACTTCTGGGCTGAACCCAGCCCAAGAGAAGGGACGGGCAAGGGACAGTCCAGGTTATTGAGTCCTTTCACCAACCAGGCCAGCATTAGGCCCAACTCTTAGAACCAAATAATTCGTACAAAATCATTTAAGCACAAATCAACTAAGGCTACATGAAACATGAAATTGAATTAACATTTTTAACTTCTGAATTTTAACTATTCAGGCACAAATCAACTAGTCGAACTTCTGAATTTTAACTTTCATGCATTTTGGGCCAGGTCTGCTGTGGGAAAAATCCAGCAGCAACAAATAAACGAGCTACTGGGCTCAAGAAGCAGGCCCAAGTAGCAATGGGCATACCGGTCTCCCTTGCAAATAACCTCAAAGTCCAAAGCCCAAGGAACCTAAACCTTGCAAAAGCCAAGGCTGAGGAGCAGGACTCAAGATCGAGTCCATACCAACACAGAACTACCATTTGCACCCAACAATACCAAACAAGCCTGATAAACTTTCATCACTACACAGTAGCTGGGACGCAAGGAAGCTTTAAAGGCTACTAACTCACATTACACTAAAAAACAACACAGTCTCGACTTCAATTACATTGATAACAAAACCAACAAATGTTCATGCTTGAATTCAATTCTAGGCTAACTCATAAATAACAATATGAAATTTAATCTCAGCTAGACCCCTTTCTTAATACTAACAGTAGCAAAGACCCAGGATGTCAACAAATCATTCACGTGAATCCAAAAATCACACCCAAACTCTCAAATAACATTGATTCAATTTTACAGCATATTTATGACATGAGAAAACTCAGATAACATGTATAGTATAGGATTTACTACAGGATGCTACAGAAATGGAAGAAATAGAAGAAATAAAACTCAAAACACAACTTGTATTCAGTCAGGTTTCCACTCGAAATACATATTTACTATCACTTGTTGTCCATGGTTTGGAAAATACCTGGAATGCAATAGAAAAATAAGGAGTTAACAGCAGCAACAGAATCAGCTTAAAATCAGCAATAGAACAGTGCCAAACAGCAACTCAAACCAAACTTTTAACCCCAAACTCAAGCCATTTTCCAACCCAGATGCACGATTTTGGAATTTTCAGAAGTTCTAACTAACCAAAGGGATTCAGAGAACCAAAAACCAAGCACAATTTGAGCTATTTTCAGTATTTTTGTATTTGAGAAAGAACTCAGCTGCTTCTAAAATTATCAGTATATTTTCAGTCTCTAAAAATCTCTCTCTTGAGAGTGAAGCAATTAGCCTTTTATAGCGAAGCTTTAGGGCAGCAGAAATAAACTTCAGTTTTTTCCCTTTACTCCTTTTTGAATTTTCGGTTTTGCTATCATGTCCTAAATTTTAAAATCAGTTTTTCAAAACAGTCCCAAATCCACCTTCCTAGCAGCTTCCTAAATCAGTTACGGAAGATTCTCTAACCTAAAAACCCTGAATTACCCTTGTAACCCCTGCTATTTACTTCAGCATAGATATGGGTCAATTTGACCCAAGGCTAACCTGACATGGGCTTGCAAAACCCGAGCTAATCCCCCTTTCTTTGGGCCTCTGATTAACAGAGTTTCAACCAATTCATAATTCGAGCTCATAAAAGTAATGAGCCAAACGGATTTTCCAAAAGAAACCAGAAAACCTTTGAAATGAAACCAAAACAAAAAAAAGGAAAAGGAACTAATTAAGAACCAAAATAGCACAAATAAACCTGCTATTAATCTAATCACGCAACAACACTGATTACAAATGAAAACATAATAAAGAAAAGGAAAGAGGAGACAGAAAGAGATGAAGATGAGAAGTAAAGTGAAAAAATAAAGAAAAGAAAAGCAACCAGAAAAAAGAAAAAGTACCTAAGAGGAACGTTTGGACAGTGGAGGTTGAAAAATGCTTCAACGCCTTCAATTTTTGCCGAGATTGACATTAATCGTGTGTTCTCGTTGAGAACACAGGAATAAAATCAACCTTGACCCCAATCTTTTACTGAACCTCGACAATTTGGGGAGATTTGGGTTTTAGGGTTTCCACCTCAGATTTGAAATTCGACGAGATGTAGGAGGATTCGAAGGGTATGGCTTTGAGCTGTGGAAAGAGGGAACTGTGAGGGTCTTATGGTGTAAATCTAGGACGGATTGTGGGTGGCGCCGCCACCGGAGAAGGTTAGAATATTAGGGCGGCGCTTAGGGTTTGGTCTCTGATGAGGGAGATAAAACGAACGAGATGGAATGGGGGGGATGGCTATTTCGAACAGTTTTATACTGTCAAACAAATTAGTTCTCGTCCATTTGATTAAGTAGGATCAACGACTGCGATTGAGAGGCTGGAAACGAGGTCGTTTGGTTAACTGAGTGGGGCGGACCGGGTAAAGGTGATTTGGGCTTGGAATTGGACGGGTTTCAGGGTATTTAAATCATTTGGGCTGGGGGAATTTAATTCAATTGGCCCAAAAAATCAGACTTCTTTTATTTCTTTTCTTTTTCTTTTCTTTTTTTTTTCAAATTAATTCTAAATTAACTCTTAAACTAAATTAATTTCCCAAATTAAACTAATTGCTCATCATAATATTTACAATAATTAATTAATTCCCAAATTAAAAGAAACTACAAAATTTAAAGTTAAAAAGTTGAAAATGCAAAGTAAGTCATTTTTGTGATTTTTTCATTTTGTAAAACAACTAATTAACCTAAAAAATGTAAAACTAAATCCTAAATGCAAATTCAATGTATTTTGTATATCATGATCTAAATAAAAAAAGCATGCACAGACAAATGCAAACAATTAACAAAATCCTATAAAAAATTCTACAAAAATTGTGAATAATGGGAAAACATTATTTTCTTAGAATTTATGGGAGTAATTCATATAGGGCAAAAATCACGTGCTCACAAATCCGATTGACCTCAAATTTTGCACACAAGTCACATTTGATATTACGGACCTGCTCCAACTTCCGGAATCGGAATCCAACCCCGATATAAAATATTCCAGACCCGATCAAACTTTCCAAATATCCTCAAATTTCCAACTTTCGCCAAATAACGCCGAACGACCCTCCAAATCAACATCCGGACGCGCTCCTAAGACCAAAATCACCATACGGAGCTATTGGACCCGATAAAACTCCATTCTAGAGTCGTCTTCACACAGGTCAAACTGCGGTCAAATCTTACAACTCAAACTTCACGCAGGGACTATGTGTCCCATTCCACACTGAAACTCTCTCGAACCCAGCACCAAGCACCCCGGCAAGTCAAGTAAGTATAAAATGAATCAGAGGGGACAATAAATAGGGGACCGGGGCTCATACTCTCAAAACGATCGTCCGGTTCGTTATATCCTCCCCCTATTAAAACAATCATTCATCCTCGAAAGAGTATAGAGACATACTTGAAGCGGTGAAAAGATGAGTGTAACGGCTGCGTATATCATGCTCAGTCTCCCAAGTCGCCTCCTCGACTGGCTGGGCCCTCCACTGAACCTTCACTTAAGCAATGTTCTTTGACCTTAACTTTCGAACCTGCCTGTCCAAGATGGCCACCGGATCCTCAACATAAGACAAGTCCTTGTCCAACTGGACTGAGCTGAAATCTAACACATGAGACGGATCGCAGTGATACTTCCGGAGCATAGAAACATAAATGCAACATCGCGAACCTTCCGATCCGCATAACTCTTCTGTCTAGATTGGGATGTACGAAGTTGATCATGAATAGCCTTAACCTTTTCCAAAGCGTCCTGAACTAAGTCTATACCAAATAGTCTAGCCTCGCCCGGCTCAAAACAACCCACTAGAGACCGACATAGTCTAGCATACAAAACCTTATACGAGGCCATCTGAATGCTCGAGTGTTAACTGATCCAAAGAATCCCAAACTCCATCACACATGCATGGGACATATCCTCCAGTATCTGAATAGTGTGCTCGGGCTACCCATCCGTCTGAGGGTAAAATGCTATGCTTAACTTAACCCGAGTACCTAACTCATGATGTACGACCCTCTAGAGTCGCGATGTAAACTACGTACCCCGGTCAGAGATGATAGATACTGGCACGCCATGAAGCCTGAAAATCTCGCAGCTATAAACTCGAGCCAGCTGCTCGGAAGAATAAGTAGTCATCACTGGAATGAAATGAGCCGACTTGGTCAACCTATCCACAATCACCGAAACTGCATCAAACTTCCTCTGAGTCCGTGGAAGCCCAACAATAAAATCCATAGAGATCCTCTCCTATTTCCACTCCGGAATCTTTAGCTTCTGAAGCAATTCACCTGGCCGCTGATGCTCATACTTCACCTGCTGGTAGTTTAGGCACCAAGCTACATACTCTACTATGTCCTTCTTCATTCTCCTCCACCAATAATGCTGACTCAAGTCCTGATACATCTTTGCGACACCTGGATGAATGGAGTACCGCAAACTGGGAGCCTCCTGGAGAATTAACTCATGCAAACCATCTACATTACACATAACCTGCCATGCATCCTCAACGCACTGTCATCTCCAATAATGACCTCCTTGGCATCACCATGATGAACCGTGTCCTTAAGGACAAGCAAATGGGGGTCATCATACTGACGCTCCGTAATACAATCATAAAGAGAAGACTGAGAAACCACACAAGCCAAAACTTGACTCGACTCAGAAACATCCTATCTAACAAATTGGTTGGCCAAGGCCTGAACATCCAATGCTAATGGCCTTTCTGCTGCTGGTAGATATGCTAAGCTGCTTGAACTCTCTACCCTGCGACTCAAGGCATTGTCCATTATATTGGCCTTCCCGGGATGGTATAGAATAGTGATATCATAGTCCTTGAGCAGCTCTAACCACCTCAACTGACGCTAGTTAAGATCTTTCTGTTTGAATAGATGCTGCAGACTCCGGTGATCGGTGTAGATCTCACAAGGGTTACCGTACAAATGGTGCTGCCAAATCTTTAAGGTATGAACAATAGCTCTTAACTCGAGGTTGTGGACAGGATAGTTCTTCTCATTTACCTTCAGCTGTCTAGACGCGTAGGCAATCACCCTATAGTCCTGCATCAACACCGTGCCGAGACTAATACACGACGAATCACAATATATAGTATAAGACCCGACCTATAGGCAATACCAATATTGGGGCTGTAGTCAAAACTGTCTTGAGCTTTTGGAAGCTCTCCTAATACTCCTTTGTCCACCTGAACGGACCCTTCTGGGTCAGCCTGGTCATAGGTGTTGCAATAGATGAGAAACCCTGTACAAATCGACGGTAATACCCCGCCAAACCAATAAAACACCGAATCTCTGTAGCAAATGACGCTCTAGGGTAACTCTACACTGCCTCAACCTCCTTCGGATCCACCTTGATCCCCTCACTCGACACTATGTGACCCAAAAATGCCACTGAATCTAGCCAGAACTCGCACTTTGAGAATTTTGCATATAACTTCTTTTCTTTCAAAGTCCGGAGCACAGTCCTCAGGTGCTGCTCATGATCCTTATCACACACGTTTGTTCCACCCGCAAAATAAATATGTGATTGTGTGCATTTAAGAGTTTTTCCAACTTAAAGTGACAATTTGAGTAGGGATTATTTTATTTACAGAGTCGCCACTTGGAATTGATTTTTGGGTATTCCAAGTCACCCTTTTTTTTATTGAATCTCTAGTCAAAGGAAAGTTGACTCTATTTATTATTGGTCTGCAAAACAATGTCCGAGTAAGGAATTCTGTTGACCGGGGAGAAGGTGTAAGGCATTCCCCGAGTCCAGTGGTTCTAGCACGGTCGCTTTTATTGACTAAAATTGGATTGAATTAATTTTTGGATAAAGTATGTTTTATTTGCCTTGATTAACGATCATCTATTGTCACGTAAAAATTAATAATTGAATTTTATTAACTTTGGCTTAGGCGTGTATAAGCACACAAGGTCTTTATTTGGTTATTTGCATTTAACCAAAGAACGGATATGAACACATGGTCAAACACAGTTTGTTAATTAGAGAGTCAAGGAGCGGGAATGCACACATGACTATTTATTAAATAAATATTGACCTAAGATTATATGTTGTCAATGCACCTCACTTGAACTCTTTCATATTAGACTTAACTTGTTAACGTATATTAAGATTGTAGAAAAATATTTCACTATCTATGTAATCTAACTACTTATATCTGATTAGTATTATTTTATATTTCATCAAATAGGATTTACTATAATTTTCATCAAATAAGATTTACTATAGAGAACATTACTCTTATGTTATTAGTATAATGTAATTTAGTGTGATAGTGTAAACAACTTATATCCTTCAACGTAAGCTAAACTCTTTCACATTTACATCTCTGTCTTTGTCTCGAACCCTCCTTTCTCTTTACTCTTTAGTTAAGAACACATGGTCTACATCTGAAACATGCCTAAAATTGTGCCTAAATTAATTAAAAGAGATTAAGTAAATTATTCAAGAGAAAAGAATATGACATTATTATATTCGTTTAACTAAATATGACACTAAAAATATTTGGATTAACTCATGGACTATATCGACATGGGCTGATGAAATTATATTTTTAATTTGATACGAAGTGTAAGACATCTCATGTGAAAAAGGAAGCCTGCTTGTGACAGATTATTGTTGAACAAGTCATGGCTATTGACGTGGGGCCCAGTTAATTAAAATGGCCCAATCACATATATATAGACCAACAAGAACCTTAAAATCACTCCAATGCATCACTATTGCTTTCTACTTGATTTTCATAAAACTACTTTCGATTATTTTGGATATCAAACACGTTAGTACGAAAATGGCGATCATTAGTTTCAATCAATACTTCATCAAGATGAAGCAACTTAACCATCAAAAGAAATGTAATTTGGTGATTTTTCACAAAACAAACAGAAGGAGAAAAATGGCACTGGGCTATGAGCCAAAATGTTTAAAGCTTGGTGTCAACCGCAATGACACAAGAAGCTATACATTCATTGCACATGCTTACATACAAAGTCCTACACAACAGAGTATTTAAAGCTCAAAAGAAGCTGAAGAACACTTTAAATCTACTTCATTTCCATTCATTATTGCCCAAAATTACAATAGTTGTTAAGAAGGTTACCCGGATAACAAAAAGTAGAAGTGTTAGCAATGACCGAAGTAACAGAAACCAACAACAACAACAGCAATAACGAGCAGCTTTTAAACCAAAGATAATGAGGAGTTTCAACTTTTTCTTGCAGCTTACTATAGATGTTAAGT